TGTCAGTTCCCAGTTTAAATAAGTTTCAAGGTGACAATGTGTCAACGCTGCGAAATCGGTTTAGTGCGTTTACATGTCGATAAGTGATTGGAGCGTTTGCAACACATTTTATTTCGCATAATGCGTCTAAATTTATCAGAAAGCAACTTATGTGATATTTTAATAACAATGTTTATATGACTATTAACCATAATAAGAGAGTAATGATCATTTTACAATTTATATATCACATTAATATGAAACTGCAATAGAGCAATTGTTTGTGATAGAAACCTAGGCATTAGGTCGGGGAATTTTTATCGTGATGACGTGCACGCCACTTTGTTTGGCGTTGACTATACCTGTGTATGAAATTCACAATGTAAACAAGATGACTGTAATGCGTTAGCTATACAGGGTGTCCGCAAAGTTGGGGTTTTCCTTTACACGACGTGTAGATCTTGAAAACATAAGCAATTTTTCTTAGTACCATATACACCAATGTCTTAAGGGAACCGAGATAAAGGGCTCTGCAACATCAAAAATATCTGAATACCGTCCTGTAGCCGCGACCCGGGACATCACCGATTGGTACAAGGTCTCAACCCGACGGCAGAACTGGGTCGGGATCAGTGTGTCAGGTCAGTATGCAACTTTCAACCGACGGTTACGGTCACGCGTGTAGAGGTAAATGAACCGGTATAATCGATTGCGTTTCAAAAAACAACAAGCACTAGAGACGTGGCTAGAGAAGTGCAAGTATTAAAAACTAAAGTGTGGCAAACGCTGCATGAAGAGGGGCTGTATCCGTTTCACGTCCAACGTGTACAAGCCCTTCAACCTGACGATTTTCCAGCAAGAGTGCGGTTTTGAGAGTGGTTGTTGCATCAACATGACAATAATCCGGACTTTTTGAAGTGCATATTGGTGACAGACGAATCTACGTTCACGCGTAATGGGGTGAATAACTTTCCCAACACTCATGTTTGGTCAGTAGAAAATCCGCACGCTGTCCGTCGGGCACATTTTCGGTGAATGTTTGGGCTGGCATGGTGAACGGTATGCTCATTGGACCATTTATTCTCCCAAATCGATTGGACGGGATGCAATACCTAGACTTTTTACGCAACATTTTGCCTTCCTTGTTAGAGGATGTGCCTTTAAGTGTAAGACAATCAATGTGGTTTCTGCACGATGGTACACCGCCCCATTTTAGACGCGAAGTGCCTGAGTTTTTGGATGAATGATTTCCGAATAGGCGGATCGGACGTAATGGACCCGTAGCGTGGCCTCCGCGATCTCCAGACTTAACACCATGTGATTTTTTTCTTTGGGGAGAAATGAAACGCTTAGTGTACAAAACTGAAGTCCATACGGTTGACGAACTTCGTCTCAGAATTGAACAAGCTGGTGCTTTCATTCGGGGGAGGGACTCCATTCTCAAAGCCAGCACCGATGCTTGGCTACGTCGTGCACGTACCTGTGTTTTTGAATCAAACGGCGATAACTTCGAACAATACCTATAAAGTACGTTTACCTAAAAACTGAAAACGCGGCAATGCCGTCTTATTTGTTTGGTCTGCACCACCGCCGGCGTCTGCTCGGTAGCGCATGAGCTGATTTCATTTTCTGTCGGAGCGGTATGATTTCGGGCAGAGACGTACTTAGCCCTTCTCGTCAACTGGAGAGTGAGTACTTTTTCCTTTATTTTTTTTTACTTGGTCGCCCTCGTTTCACTACACATTACCTTTGTTATTTCAAGGGTAGTTGTTTCTGAAAAGGAATACCCCAACTTTGCGGACTTTATATCCTTCACTTCGCCTATACAATTTATAAGAAATAGTTTGGTTGCAATAAAGTAGAATCATGTAACACAATAGTTGTATAGTTGACAAAAACTGAATCTTGCACTGACGCAAATGTCCTATAGCGGCTGCAAGAGGCTTACACTTTTGTTTTATAACTGTTACCTGCAGCCCTTATACAACCTCTTAAATGACTGAAGTGTCCTATTAGGTGTGCCCATTCCGCTTGTATAGCTGTTCTAAGAGGGTTTTGCCAATGTTCTTACAGTATACAATGCTGTTTAAGGAATACTGTATAATCATTCTTGCAACTCTAATAGGAGTGATAATTGTTAGTTGGGAGGGTCATCCCCTTAAAAATTTTAAACGACAAGGGGTAACGAGTAATAGCTTGTTTGAAAGGTCCTTCGAAGTACTTTATTTTGACGTTTGATTCTTTAAATCGGTCGATTCGTTTTCAAGAAAATTAGAAAAATCTCTATTTATCTTAGTTTCTTCAGATTGAAAACAAAAACACACGGAAATAACACTTTATATTTCAATAAGTGTTTCAAATGTTCTACAATTCGTTTATTATTTAAAACGGAAACTACAACATAAACAGCAATTCGGAAGATTGGACGTGGCAACAACCAAATAACAACCCGAATTTTTTCCGTATTATTTTCATCAACACAGATATCATGGGTGATCTGTATTTTTTTATATGCCCGTTAAGTTATTTGTTGCTAAGGGAAATAAAGAATTTGGTGGAAAGTTTTCAAATTTTATATTGTTTGCTGATGGAAATTCTGAAACAATAGGGAATTGATAAATAGGAAAATTAGTTGTTTGAGAATATAATCAATACATTTCTCTTTTTATCTCTCTCGCGAATTCGGAATGAAGTAGTGTACGCTAATTTACTATACAAAAAATCCATTTTTGTTTTCTGGGTTACGGGTACGAAACTTTCCATATTTAGCTTATTTGTGGCACTCAATTCGGATTGACCGTAAAAATTCTATTTATTTTCTACGCCACTGGCGAGGAAGTTATGTAATCGCGGAAAGTTCCGAAAATGAGATATGATTTTTGGATGCTAAATAATGTCATGTACATCACGAAAAACCATGTCACTCATTTCCGTCGGTCTGTACTCAAGGTTATTACTATGCCAAGGACAAAAAAGCTTTGTAGTTTTTTAAAATCGGCTCAGTGGCGGCGGAACTAAAGGCAAAAAATACGTTTCGGAGGATCCTGATCGTTTTCAGCAAAAAAATTGAGGAAGATGAAAATTCTAGGTTGCTGATTGGGGGAGGGTATATTTTTGGCGGTAGTGATATACAGGGTGTTGCAGTTTATTGTTGCATAACTTTAAGATACGATAGAACTTTTAAAATTAATGCATAAAGTCTAAATAAATATGGGTCGAAAAATGCGTTTAAATTTACTTTCTAAAATAGTTTTTTTTTAAATATTTCGAACAACATTTGATGTATAACAGTGAAAATTGGTATACAAGGGTTTTTTGGTACGACAAAACGAACCATGGGCATAGTTTTACTGTAGCCGCTAGAGGGCGCTCTCTACTGTACCTGTAGTGTATTAAAATGACCGAAAATTTTTTCTTAGTGCAATTTTTTGCTTTTTGATTAAAAAAACTGATTCTTCGCACTGTTCAACATAAAAAAGCTCTCCTGTGAGTTTTCGTTATAGTTAGCCGTTTTTGAGATATTTCGATTTTTAAGGTTCGATGCATTTTAAATTATTTATGATAAAATAACGTTAAAAAGTCAGTAACTCGATAATTTTTAGAAGTAGGCTGTGGCTGCATAATTTTTGAAATTGAAAGTATGCAGTTCGGGAAAGAAATTTTCAGCATGAATTTAGTGTGAACGTGTGGATTGGTATCTACCGTAATCGACTATTTGGACCCTACCTTTTGCCTGCAAGGTTAAATGCTGCGACCTTCTTGGAATTTTTAAAGGCTGAACATGCACATATGTGGGATGATGTTATGTTAGATTTAAGAAGATTGGCCTGGTTCCAGCTTGATGGTTGTCCAGCTCATTATTCGAGAATAGTTAGAAACTGGCTGGACGAAAATTATCCAGAAAGATGGATCGGCCGTGGAGGACCAGTCGCCTGGCCTCCACGATCCCCTGACCTAAATCCATTAGATTTCTTTGTGTGGGGATTTCTAAAAGAAAAAGTGTACCAGACTCCCGTAACCACAAGAGATATGCTAATAGACAGAATCAGGAATGCATCTGATGAAATAAGGCCTTATTTGAATAATGCTATACCACGTTCGATCATTCGTAGATGTGAATTGTGTATTGAACAATTGGGTTTACATTTCGAGCAACTACTTTAGATTTTGTATCTTTGACCTAACTATCCAATAGCATTTTAGTTGTAAATAATTAATTTAATTTGTTAAAAATAATATTGGAAAATTAAACAAATTAATATTCTGTTTTTTGTGTTTATTTGGAGTTAGGAATTATTGCTGTGTTTAAAAACACATTGTAAACGATCATCTTAATTACTTGTAATGCCCAAATCGAAAATGTAAAAAAAAATATTTTCCTATAAATAATAAAAATGCATCGAACCTTGAAAATCGAAATATCTCAAAAACGGCTAACTATAACCAAAACTCACAGGAGAGCTTTTTTATGTAGAAAAGTGCGAAGAATCAGTTTTTTTATTCAAAAAGCAAAAAATTGCAGAGAGCGCCCTCTAGCGGATACAGTAAAACTATGCCCATGGTTCGTTTTGTCGTACCAAAAAACCATTGTATACCAATTTTCACTGTTATACATCAAATATTGTTTGAAATATTTAAAAAAAACTACTTTAGATAGTAGTAGACCCATGTTTATATAGACTTTATGCATTAATTTTAAAACTTCTATCGAATCTTAAAGTTATGCAACCATAAACTGAAACACCCTGTATAATAGAGAAATATCTTCGACACGCGGCTTTCTCTAGATTGACCGGAGTAAAAGTCTCCTCCATGAATGTTGCTATGTCACTGCCATGCTGCCAAGTCTGACGAGTGCATTCTTTGAGCGGTGAAATACGATTCAATGTCTATGTTTTACATGTGCGTAGCTAACTTTTTATCAGAGAGTGTCACTTGGGCCGAACATAACCTTATATGACTTATGACAGCGTTACTTGGGAACTGTAGAGTTAACCTACTTGATGTCGTTTTTTTTGCAGGTCAAGTCGATCTACCAGATGCACACAGCGATGCGTACTGGCAAAAAGTTGGTTCCAACCGCACAGTATACGAACTGCCTTCACATGTGCAACAGCTGAAAAGTGATAGGTAAGGACTGTTTTTCCTGTGTGAAATTACTTGTTTTTAGACCTCGATGCAGTGGTTTTTCACTGAAATATGAAATCTATCTGTCGTTTTACTAGCGTTTTTGAATGTCATGCAGCATGACGAGACATATCACAACCGTCACAATATACTCAAAAAAAAATGTTTTACAGTTTTACAAATTGCCATAAATAATCCTATTGTAAACCTCAAATTTCATTCTATCTAGAAACATTTGTGAACATCGTGTGGGATAAGAATTGACTTTTGTCCCTAGTATTATTATATACCGCTATACCAAACGCGCCTGAAGTGTGCGACTCTGGAAAATTGGAAGTGGCATCCAAAGTCGGAAGGGTAATTTTGATGACTTTAATTATTCTCGATTCAAATCATATTAATAATTATGTCCGATACAATATTTACTCCCGTAATACGACTAATTTGTTTAAAACATCTTTGTATAATGTTACGTCATCCGTTATCGGTTTATATTGGACACATAGCCGCCCATACGGTAACTTTTTTTTTGCGCAACGTTGGCGTGTAGGCGCTCTTGAGCTGATAGACAAAAAATATAACATACCATGGGTGTACATCTCTCAATAAAATATGGGGTATTCATATTCAAATCAAGTTGGGTACTTTATTTTGAAAGTTCATTTATACCATTTATGTATGAAAAATAATATCGCTCAAATGTTCACCACGACTGGATTTACAGACGTCCACGCGATGGTCGAAATTTTCAATGACGTTTTGCAACATGGTCGGTTCTATGGCATTTATCTCGGCAATGATGTTGTTTTTGAGTTCTTGGAGGGTGGCTGGTTTGTTGACGTAGACTTTGCTTTTCAAATATCCCCATAAAAAGAAGTCCAAGGGAGTCAAATCGCACGATCTTGGTGGCCATGGCACATTTCCTCTGCGCGATATCACGCGATCACCGAAGAAGGACTGCAATCGATGGATATTGACGTTGGTTGTGTGGCATGTTGCACCGTCTTGTTGGAAATAAACATCGTCCATATCCATTCCTTCAAGTTGCGGCAAAAAATAGTCCGCTATCATCACGTGATATCGCTCAGAATTGACGGTAACGGCGTCCCCGGCTGCATTTTCGAAAAAGTAAGGTCCGATGATGCCTTTTGACCACAATGCACACCACACAGTCGCTTTTTGAGGATGCATCGGCTGCTCTTGATACTCACGGGGATTTTCGTTCGCCCAGATACGGCAGTTTTGCTTGTTTACCGTCCCATTCAAAGTGAAATGCGCTTCGTCGCTGAACACGATTTTTGATGAAAAATTGGCATCAATTTGGCGGTGTTCAAGAAGCCAATATGAGAACGTTCGGCGCGAAAAATGGTCGGCCCGACGCAGCTCTTGCTTCAATTGGAGGCGTGTACATTCAAATCCTTGTGTAGAATGCGGAGCAAACTGATTCTCGAAATGCCCAATTCGTGGGATCGACGCGTTGTTGATTGTTTCGGATCGTCTCTCACACTCTCCTTCACAACAGCAATATTTTCCGGTGTGTGAACGCTCCTTGGCCGGCCAGAGCCTGGCAGATTTGCCACAGAACCTGTTGCCTCGAATTTACGCACCGGACGACCGATGGTTGTTTCGTTTGGGCGGTTGTTGTGACCGAAATGTTCACGAAGCGCGCGAAACGTGTTTTTTATTTTTGCACCATTTTTGTAGTGCTCTTGAATAACTTTAATGCGGTCTTCAATCGAATACGACTCCATAGCGATCAATGGTAAACATTCAACTAACAAAATGACATGTCGGTGACAGAAAACAAAGATGGCGTCTATGTCAAATTGACGTTTACTTTCCTGCGTCCTTATTGGACAACCCTATATAATGCTTTAAATATAATATAAACACCAAAATAGAGTGATTGACCTTATCAAAGGCTTTGGAGAAAACGCTGTATACCACATCGAAATGTCCTCTGTTGTCCAATTTGTTACACAAATATTCGCTAAACGTCATTAAATTTCTTGAGGCTAAATCCTCCTTTATGAAACCATGTTGATCCGTGAAAATATAATTTTTCGTGAATAGATATAGAGGGTGTAAACATTATGATAGTCATTATTTAAATGGGTAATAGGGAGGTCAAAACAGGTCAAAAAGTTCATATGACACATGGTCCAAAAGTCAATATATTTTTGTCTAAATGGCTTTATAGTTTACAACTTAAGTGCTTTGTATCGACCGCAATCACTACAATCTTACTAACTTTAATAATCTAATCTAAAACGTTTTTAAATTGGGTAATTAACAAATAAATGGCATTAAGTTTTTCTAAGTTAAGCCAAAATTTGTAGTCAGTAAGTTTCATTAAATTAAATGTTTAAAACACACATGACAACAGCGCGTCGGTCTTTCATCACTCTTATCGAACCGGCAATCGATCGCAAACGTTAACAATGGTTAGTTATCGTTTTACATAGATAAATTACTTGATCGTTTCTGCGAGCAGAGCATCGGGCGTGTTGTTTTGTTTTTATTCGCGTACGTCGTCGTGTTTATTTACAATGTTTTCGAATCAAGAGGTCGCCGACATGTTGTTAGTTTACGGTGAAGACCCAGACAGAAGGATATTTGTGCAAGTGTACCAAAGACTTCGAGATACAGAAAGTGTTCAGCCCACTAATATTCGCACTCGTGAAAGACAGGTTACTGTAGAGCAGCAGGAACAAATTTTAAATATCGTGGAAATCAATGCAGATATCAGCACTCGGGAATTAGGCTGCCGCGCCGCGTAGGACTATCGCATACCATAGTCCATAGAATCCTACGGGAAAATTTTATCCCTACCATTTACAACGAGTGCAGGCTTTGTTACCAGAAGACTATCCTCGCAGACTAACATCCTGTCAGTGGTTTTTGCACAAAAACATTGAAAATCCGGATTTTTTTAAAAACATTCTAGCGACGGACGAATGTACTTTTACGCGAGACGGGATATTAAATTTCCATAATACTCACACGTGGGCCCAAGAAAATCCTCATACCATTCGTGAAGGTCATTTCCAACAACGTTTCAAAAGAAATATTTGGGGGGGTATTCTTGACGATCAGGCAATTGGCCCTTTTGGAACAGACCTTAGACAACATGCCATTACAACGGAGACAGAATTTGTGGTTTCTTCATGACGGGGCACCACCACACATTTTTAAAGGCGTCATTCAGTATTTGAATGAACATTGTCCAAATACCGATTTCTGGTATTGGGGAGAACCTAAAGGGATGGTTTATGGGGCTGGTCCAATGACAACTGAAGCACAACTTTGCGAAAAAAAATTTAATGCGGCTGAAATAATAAATGGACAACTTCGAGGACCTACAGTAAGAAGAAACTGGGTGCGTCGTAATGAAGCTTGTGTGGAAAGTCGAGGACGACATTTTGAACACCTTCTTTAAATACAAAAAAGTGCAGTGTCGCCTGACTAGCGAAGCTCATCGTCGCGTTGCCTAGCAACGCTGACCCGGCAACGTGCCGCGTCGCGGATATGTTACAAAAGTTGGTTCCTTGAATTAAGATGCATATCGAAAATTTGCGTTAGTTTATTCTTTAATGGTTTTATTTTGAGCGTACACATTTTTAAATTGTGAATTGTGTCGTATCTAAGGGCGCTCCATTTTAGGTCGACGTGAAAAGTCAGGATAGTCACAAATCCTGCAACATTGCACCATTGGTTCTTTTGATAACACTACATCTTGTACATTCCAAGGCAAGGTTTCCACCTCCATGATGATAGTTGAGCGATTTTTGTCTGTACCATCTAGCACTCGTGCTCTGAAACGGCTTTCGCCTGCGTACACGCAGGCAGTGATAATTTGTATTGCGTAACGTTAAATGTAACAATAACTGAGGATGTGTTCATTTCACCAACATCGGTGGAAAGATAATTCTAAAAAAATCGAAATTGAAATTAATAACCATACTTTTTGATTACGCATTTCTCCCAAAAAAAGTACGATTTGGCAACAATGGACCGCTTTTGTCTTATATGTCAAAAAATGAACGTTATAAAACGGCACTTCTGCCTTCAAACATTTCTTATAAACACAAAAACTGTGATTGACATTGAAAAATCACAACACTACACAACTTACAAGTAGTACCATTATTTACCGTATGCAAGCATTTTAGCTTATTACGCAGCTAGTTTTAAACATTTTTCTTGCAAAAAACAAAGTTTTTTTGTAGTTCCACATCTTAAAAAATGATCTATCCTTCTGATTTCTTTGATTTTTCCCGATAAGAAAAAAACTAAAATTTCGCTCTCTATGCGCCAAAGTGTAGACTAACACACATTTCTTGTGATGGAAACCCAGCTTAAGAAATATTGTACGCCCATGTGCGCGTGAAGAAACTAATAAGACGCGGGGGCATTGTTCCTTTATGTCCACGACGACGACATGTGGATAATGTGGTGTGCTTTGTGGCGTAGCGTGCCGTATATGCAGCAGGTATTTTTGCAACTGGAACAGAACATAGCGGAAATAATGGCGGGTGGATACGTTGCCGCACGCACAAGAACAAGAAGTCGTGTCACTATATTCGCCTAGTGTGCGCGGTATTCAAGAAGTTGCTTACTGTTATCCAATGATTTTCTGCACAACGTGTTTTTCAAATAAGGGGCAAATCTGGTTTTTCAGATTAAATCGTGATTTTTACTTTCTATGCCAAAATCGCGATCATAACTAATTCATATCGCAAAAGGGATGTACGCATTTATAAGACACAAAAAGACACAAGATTTTGGTAGGGGTTGGTAACCACACCCAAGTGTGAAGCTCCTCTATAAAAATCGCGATCATGGTTTATTTCAACCAGGAACCATTCTAGCTAAGCATAGTTAAAAATCAGCAGTACCTATCCTTTTTTAAAAATACTTCGTATCACAAAAGGTACTAGTAATACACAAAAAACTGCCCTATTGCCATTCCCTTACCAGATTTTGGCAGGGGTGGTTAACCA